CCAGTTGCTCTAAAAATATTCTGGGAAAGGGGGTGTAAAAGATTGAGTTTTCTGAAATACTCTGTGAATAAATGATCTGTAAAGCCATCTGTTGACCAGTACTTTTTAGATTCTAACAATGCGATTCTATTCCTAGGCAGTGGTTTGCAGTGGCTTTCTGAAGCCCTTCACTTATGCAGCCCATTAACTTCTGAGGACGTCCGACATTTGAAAGACTGGATCTCTGAAACCTGGGTGAACCTGGCAATGGTGGACTATCCTTATGCATCTAACTTTTTACAGCCTTTGCCTGCTTGGCCCATCAAGGTAATAGAGAAATGTCCTCTCATCATTGTTAGTAACCCACTTCTCATTTTTTTTAAACGTGAATTCTCTGGCTTTCTGCATCAGAGAAAGTCCCAGTGACAAAAGGGCTCTGGAGTTAGTCCAACCTGAGCCAGAATCCTGGGTTCTGCTACTTTCTGGTTATGTGGGCCTGAACATGTTACCTAGCTTTTTTGAGCCTCAGTTTCCTCATTTGAAAAATGGAGGTAAAATTTATTGATTATAGAGTTGTATGAATTAGAAATAATACCAGAAGTTGCTGTTAATGGAATAATTATCATGTGTCAAATCCTGGGCTGTGTACTTTGTGTGTATGTGATATAATCTTTGTGATATATGTGTAACATGGGTCTGTGTAATACATGATTGGTGCTTAAAAATGGCAGTCATTATCATAAGTTCTGTGATCTAGTCAGCTGTGAAAGCATTCTAAGTGCTACACTCAATGTGAAGAGTGACCCCATGCAGCACACAGTAGAGTTGAAAAACATCAAATTCGATTCTGAAAGTGAGAGTTTGGTCTAGAGCTGCTGCTTTACCTACCAACTATGTGATCTTGGGCCAGGTGCTTTTCTTTCCCCATCCTCTGTCTTCCTCTCTTTGTGCTGAGAATCAAATAAAATGTTGTATATGAAACACTTTGGAAAGTATAAAAACACATTACAATATAAATTTTAAGGTTCTTTTCATGTCAAAATTCTTTATTGTTTACGTTCATTTTAAGCATTTCTTTGTAAAGAACTTTCCTTTTAGTTTTAAGAACAAAGGCTGGCCAACTTGATGGTTAAATTTAGAGAATATAATCAACTCTTCAGCTAGAATGAGTGTTGGAAGTGAAAATAGTATTGGTGATATGAGAGCCAGGTTTCAAATGGGCTTTAACCACCCCTTTGAATTATTACATGTATGTCTTGCTTAAAAATTTGTAACTACAAAAGTTCATTTGCTATTATTTTTCTTCATTTAAAAAGTAGAATGACTAATGAGTGTCTTGCATATAGCAGGCTGGAGGTAAATAGGTATTGAATTAGATTGAATTTTGACAATACAAAGTTGTTAAAAAGAGCAGATCACTTTTATGTTAGAAAACCTAAATCAGTAGGCCTGGTGTGGTGGCTCATGCCTGTAATTCCAGCACTCTGGGAGTCTGAGGTGGAATGATTGCTTGAGATTAGGAGTTTGAGACCCACCTGAGCAACATAGTGAGAATTCATCTCTACTAAAAATTTAAAAAATTAGTAGAGCATAATGATGCGTGCCTGTAGTTCCAGCTACTTGGGAGGCTGATGTGGGATGATTGCTTGGGGCTGCAGTGAGCCTGGGCAACAGAGCTAGACCCTGCCTCAAAAAAAGAAAATAAAGGAAAAGAGAAGAAAGCCTGGATCAAAATGATAAGGAAAAAATAAATCTAAACCAGTTCATTTCCATAAACATCTATGTGCTAATAATGCCTTATCTGTCTATATTATTTTACTATTTACAAAGCACTTTCATGTATGCTGTCTCACTTAATTCTTATAAAAGTACTGTGTAGAAAAAAAGGTATAATTCAAGATTTATGGAGAAGAAATTAAAGGTCAACTAAGAATTGGTAGAGGTAGCATTTGAACTTGGGTCTTCATTGTTCAGAGCCTGTATCTACTGCATTGCACTGGAGTAGGAGGAAACTTGACTGAGGGTTGCATGGACCATTGCTCACAGTGTGACATCTATCAGATTTAACTTTGTATCTGTCTATGCACAAGGTGAGAATTATATTTGCATCTTTATTCTCACTTGAAGAATTAGTGCATTGTCAGATGATAAAAACATTGGGGAATTCTCTTGTTATTGAGAACAGAGATTGACAAACTTTCTCCATTTAAAGGGCTATATTTTAGGCTTTGCAAGCCATATGGTTTCTGTCACAATTACTCAACTCTGCAGCTGTAGCATGAAAGTAGCCATAGATAATATGTAAACAAATGAGGATGGCTGTCTCCAATAATGCCTTATTTGTGAAAATAGGCAGTGGGCTGGATTTGGTTTGGGGGGTTGTACTTTGCCGACAACTGATCTAGAAAAAGGCTGGAGAAATATAGCTGTTTAATGTTAGTTGGTGTACCACAATTTGGAACAGTGAGCAATCTAACTGGTTTTCTCCCTACCTCTTTAATGTACATTTTGGAATATTTTGCTGTTCAGTCTTACATGTAAATCAATATTTTATCCTTTGATCTTCTAAATAATTACTCAAAACCAGCAGAGTATACCTCAAATATTTTGTCATCTATTTTTGATTTAATGCAATCCTTTTATCCTTTATATATATGCATTATAAAAGTTTATTTTTAAGGTAAGGTATCTTTATGTCTTTTCCTCACAATCACCTTTTACTTCTTTTATCCAGGATTAATTCTTGTTATTCTCTTCAGTTATTTCTTACTGACATTATCCTTTCTCTTGACAAACCAAGGAATTCTTGATTGCTTGCATTTATGATTCTGTTTCCAGCCTACACCCCACCAGAAGTAATCTTATCTCTTTCCTCTTGCTTTGAGAAATTCTATTTGCTCTGTTTTCCAGTTTCATCCTATAGTTAGTTACGCATTTGATTTTCAGAATTTTTCCACTGTCTTCCTTCGAAACTTGTAGCTTCAGATCACTTTCTTTCACTGTTCATTCTATTTCTCCTTTTTTGACCCCCTCTCTGTTCTCCCAACCCACTAATCCCTGGAACACTACCCAGTTGGGGACCGCTCTTTCACTTGGATAGTTCCATTTAACCAGAACTCCTCCTCCCTCTGATACACTTCCTCCTTTTTAAAGGGCTGACTAACAGTGGTCCTTTTCTGAGTCTGTAACTCAGGCTTAGGATGGTGAGATAATATGTAACAGTTGGGTTATGAAAAAAAGCAGGTGATTTCCAATTCTGTCTGGGACCTTGTACAGTTCTGAAGGATCCATGGGCAGCAACTAAATGCCATTTTCCGTGTCAATTCAAATATCGTTCTTTTTAATTTGTCTTTGGGCTTTGCACGCTCAGACTCCATTTGCTTTTGTTTACTGTTAGCAGAAGCTGCGACATTCATGCAGAAATAATCATGGACTTGGCTGGTAGAACACAAGGAAGAAGAGAAAAGGGAAACAGAAAACCCCTCTGTCATTTGACTGTTCTGTCAGCATGAAAACTGTTGGGTCTCTTCTCAGCTTAAAGACAGTTTTAAAGGACGAAGTAATTTGTTAATTTTGGAATCATATTTCAGTTGATAATTTCTCAAATATTTTAGCATAGGCTTCTGTGCATGTAGATAGATACAGTGAAATAATGACATAAGATGGAAAAATCTCTTCCGTTTGTCTTGCTGTTTGGTAATGTATTCGACCTCTCTGGGTGGTTTAAGCGGTTTAGGTGCATTCTATGAAAAGGGGGCTTTTAATGACAAAACTAATGTGATTATCTGAGTGAGTGTGAGAGGGGTATTGAAGCCTTAGAGAAAGAAAATCTGTTAGAAAAGCTGAATGTATCTGCTTAATCCTTTCTCTAATGTGGATGGACCATGCTCTGAGAGGAGATTGGTCTTTTTTTTTTTTTTCCCCCCAACCTATCTTCTTTCCTTCCTCTGTTAAAAAATTCTCTTTGACCCCTTTTTCTTTCTCTTATTTATATGTGTACTCTCATAGGTAGGAACACTTAAAGCTTTTAAACAAATCATCATCTTTACTTTGTCTGGTGTATGTGAGATCAAAGGGCAGAACCGAAATATTTGATTGCAGATCTGATTAGTTTGATACTAAGGTTGCATGAATGTTCTAGTTTCTCAGCTATTTCTATATTCTTTAAAACTGGAATGAGTAAAATGGACTTTCTAATACTCTTTCTGTTTCCTGAATGTTCATCTTTATTCTAGGAAATGCCTCATATTACTCTACTGCTTTGCAGTGTTTTTTGTTTGTTTGTTTTTTGTTTTTTTACTATTAAATGCTTTTAAAGTTTTATGATTTCATATTGCCACAAAAGTCCTTCTAAGTTTTTGCCAAAACAAATAAACATAGAAAAATGTAAAGATGATCTAAGAATTAGAAAATTTGTTTTTAAAAGGTAAGCATGAGACAGCACATATATTTAAGCATTGTTTTTGTTAGGGTTATTTTTCTTTTAGCTTTTAGTTGAATACATGTTGTATAGTTACAGTGATTGTAAGCTCCAGAGAGTCAGCATTTGTGTTTTTTCCTTTCCTTTTCTTTTCTTTCTTTATTTATAAGATACAAGGTCTCATTCTGTCACCCAGGCTGGAGTGCAGTGGCATGATCATAGCTCACTGCAGCCTCAAGCTCCTAGGCTCAAGAGATCCTCCTGCTTAAGCCTTCTGAGTAACTGGGATTACTGGAGTCTGTATTGGAATTCCAGTTCTGCCATTTCCTTGCTGTGTGGTTTTGGGCAAGTTTCTTAACCTCTCTGTGTTTTAGTTTTCTCATTTGCAAAATGCGTATAATAACAATTGTAATGCTTATTAGGGTTTTTATGAGTATTTCATAGGATCTAGTATAAAGTAAAAGGACTAAATTGATACTAGTCATAAATAATAACAATAGTTATTATTATTATGTAATATTGGGAAACCAGATGATTATACCAGGACTCTGTGGTCAACGTCTGGGTTGACATCTATATTCATAGTGCTTTTTCTTTTCGACATCAGATAGATAATGTGCTGATAGCGTAACCGGGTTTGAGGGAGGTTCATTTCACATGTGAGCATGAAAACCTGATCATACGCTTCCTACATTAATAGTTTTTAAATTGTGTATCTGTAGCCAGACTTCTGAGCCTATTTCTCTTCTGTGAAATGGGAATGATAGCCATATGGTGCTCTCTGGGTTATTGTAAGGAAAGTACCTGCCCTCAAAGAATATTCAGTACTTGTGCTAACAACCTCAGTCCCAGCTGTTCACATTTTAGCACATTTGTGGCATGTGTAGGAATGATGTGCCTATGTAGAAATTGTTTAGAAGAAGCCGTTTGCTAGGGCTCACAAAATAAATAGAAAGTATACTCCAGGGCTACCTGGATATTGAGTATTTTAGATAGAGATGATGGGCTAAGACCCTTGTTGTCTGACTATATCACAGCCTGTATGTAAAAAATCAACAGGCCAAGTGCTTGCTTTCATCATGTGGGTAACATCTGCAAATTATCAGGGGTAAGCTAAAGTATTATATGAGGTTGAGCCAAAATTGCTATTTGACTGTTTTTGACTTACAAATATGAGAGTTTCATATGGTTCAGTTTAATATTGATGTATTTTATGTAATCCTTCAGTTCTTTGATAAAAGTATGTGAGTATCTTGTTTGAAACTATTCTAGCCTTTTTTTTTATTTTTTATTTTTTTAAGAGATGGAGTCTCACTCTGTCACGCAGGCTAGAGTGCAGTGGTATGATCATAGCACTGGAGCCTAGAACTCCTGACTGAAACAATCATCCTACATCCTACATCCTACATCCTAAGTAGCTGGGATACAGACACGTGCCATCACACCTGGCTACTTTTTTAACGTTAGTTTGTAAAGATGAGGTCTTGATATATTCTCAGGCTGGTCTTGAACTCCTGGCCTCAAGATGATCCTACTGCCTGGGCTCCCAAAGTGCTGGGATTACAGACTGAACCACTGTGCCTGGCCTTGAGTTACTATAGTCGTTGAATAAGCATGAGAATAGTGTCAAGGTCTTGCTAATATTTTTTTTGAAACGTCATTCACTGTGCTACCAAAATTGTTAAGGAAGTGCAAAGAGATATTAGGGATTCTGTTTTTTAATGCTAGAGGATGATGCTTGGACTCACAGAATCTTTGAGTTAGAAAGGAACTTTAGAATTACCTAAAATAAAATTTTCCTAGTAAATTTGCAAATATTTTGCAAAAAAAATTTTAAGTGACATTTTTCAGGCCTTTTATTTAGCATACTAGTAGAATTATAAATCAGTACTTCCTTTATATAAGGCCATTTGACAGGATGTACCAAGGGCCTTAAAAATGTTGATCTCCTTTGAGCCAGTAATTTGTTGAAGAATTTATCTCAAGAAAACAGTTAAGGATATGTTTAAAGATTTAGCCCCATGGACATTTATTATAGCCTTATTTGTAATGACGAAAGGTTGGGAATGACCCAATTTTAGGGTTGCTTCAGCTGTTTTTCAGCTCCCCACCCCAATTCCTGCCTTCTAGATTTTCTAATGTTGGTCGGTGCCCTTCATAAGTTGTCATACTCCACTACTCTAAGGGTGATCTGACCTCACAGAGCACAGTGGCTGGGGATTGCCCTTATTCTGGACTTGGAATCCCATCCATGCAGAGGCCAACTCTCTGACCATGATGTTCTTTCTGTGTAACTGGGGCTGCTGAAACCCAAGTATTGTCAGCCAGTGCCGGTCTCCAGCCATGCTTGTCTTTTAAGAAGTGACAGTAACTGCTATTTGTGGAGATGGCTATTCATAGGGACTCCTTTTCTTTGCCTGACAGAGGCCCAGTGTTCTAAGCTCTAAGAGGGGCTCTGATGCCAGCATGTGAGTCACACTCACTTGCTACTGTTCTTTTCCAGAGTTTTGGGCCGCTTGTTGCTTCACATCAGTACCTTCTCTCCCCATGCCCAGCTTGCATTGTCACCCTGCCCCATCTACCATGCTGTGCTTGAACACAAGGCTCTTCTCTGCATTCCATGTGTCTACTATGTAGTTTTGTGCTGCATTTTGAAAGAGCTGAATCGGCTATTGGTATCCAGATTCAGGAAAGAATGCTGATCAACTCTTGGCAATAGAATGGTTTAATATATCTTATGATTGTTTCTTGATTTCCATATTGTCTTGAGTTATTCTTATTGGCATATTTCGTAGGAACATTTTCTGAGAAAAGTGCCATGCAAATGTTAGGTATTTTTTGACTACCATGAAAAATTGAGAGTTGTTAAAATGATAAAACACTGTTTTGACTTTTAATTTTTCTTCAATTTGCATTTCCCTATTGCTTTAGGCTTGATAGGTTTGTGAAGCTCTCAGTTTAGCTCAATTCTGTCTCTTCATGCACGTCCTAAAGCCTGGTATTCCTTATTCCTATGACCCCACAATTACTTTTAAAGGTATATCCCATTATTTGGACATCTTAATTTCTGACTTGTCTCACACTCAGCAGTTCTAAAAACCTTTTGGGAATGATGGACACTCCAGCTTCCTTTGGAAAGTCATATTACTTGTGAGCATGTTAAAGGTTCTGAGAAATCCTCTGAAATTATATAATAATAACAACAGTCAGGAAAACTGTTCACCTTTGCTAATATACAATTTCTGAAAACTATTGACTAGGAAACTTTTTTTTCCACAAAGTACCAATTAATGTTCCATGGTAATATTGTTGTGCAGAGTATATTTGGGGAAAGGCATTTAATTGTTCTGAAAATTCATTTTCTCTTTTTTTTTTTTTCCAGGAAGGTATTGCTGGCAGCTGGTGCCAGGCAGAACTGTGATGAAGGGTTGGGTTTGGTTGGATCCTTTCTCAATACCCTCTTTTCTTGGTTGGGAGCATACCCCCAGCCCAGGCCTTGTTATTCCTGCTGCTCAAAATCTCTCTCTGAGGTGGGGTAACTGGGCTCCTTTCCCGGCTCCTTCTCTGGACTGGTCTCTTTTTTTGTCAGGACTAGTCTATTTCATATATATACATAGTCTTTTCCACATGAAATGGGAAAGGACCAGATTACTGAATTCATGTCAGAGTCAACAGAGAATTCAAGCTTACTGGGTTTTCCTTGCCACTGGGACTGTTTGTAGTTTTACAGGTGGACAGTTCCTAAGCTGTGTGTCATAATGGATAAGATGTATATTTCATAACCAGGGACAACTGGGGACGAATCTAGGCCCTATTATTTACTGAGTGATCTTGAAGATGACTTAACCTAAGAATTAGGATTTTTTTTTTCATATAAAATAATGGACAATCATCTATCTGATAGGGTTCTTTGATGATTACACGGTGTAATTGTTGGAAACCCAGGGCTTAATAATCACTAGCTGTTGTTAGTATTATTCAGTTATGATTCAATTGTCTGTGATTTTTCTCTAACATTTTATTATGGAAAATTTTAAACATATGGGAAAGTTAAAATAATTGGGCAGTGAACACTCATAAACCTAACGTCTAAATTCTATAAATAGTATTTTGTTGCATTTTTTTATCGCATATGTATTCACCTATCCATCACTTCATCAGTCCTTTAAGTTATCTATTTTTAAATGCATTTAAAAGTAAATTGCAGGCATTTTCCTCCTAAATACTTCAGCTTTATTATTAACTAGAGTTCAATATTTGTGTATGGTTCTTCTTGTGGTGGTGGAGGGATGAAATCTAGGTACCATGGAATGTATGAATTATAACATTTTTCATGTAACACAACCTCTATGAAGATATAGAACATTTCCGTACCCCAGAAAGTTTGCAATGGCTCTGTCTAGTCAGTTCCCACCTTTACTCCTAACCATGAATATTGTCTTATTTTTATAGCTAGAATTTCAGGCATTTATTATAGGTTACTGAAAGGAATGTTTTAGAGCTGGGTGTTATAGCATATGCTTTTTATCACACCACATATGCTAGAACTTGGTATAGTTTTTCCATATAAGATTGTATAAATTTTGCATTTTTATAAAAGAATAGTAATTCATTCAGCGAACATTTAGTTACCAGATATCTTGTTAAGTACTGAGGGAGACATACTGAAATCAAGTCAGTGAAGTAGCAAATCAAGTCAGCATTACAGAGGCTCTGATAAAAATAGGTACAGGGTATACGGGAGGCACTAAGAAGGGAGAGGTCTAGTTCTTCCCGACTTGGAAACATAGGCAGGGATGCCCTTGAAGAGGAGATGATATGAGCTGAGTGTTGTAAAAGAGGAGTTGGTGTTTGAAGGCATTAGTGGAGTGGGAGAGGAGATAGAAAACAGTGTTTCAGGGTGAGCAAGGGGAAAGAAGAAGAAGGAGCCTGGTGTAGTGGGGAATGGTTTTCCTAGGCTGGAACAAAGGCAGCAAAGAGGAAGCTAGAATGGTAGGTAGAAAGGATTTTGCATACCATGCAAATGACTTCAGTTTGTTTCTATAGTCCAGGGAGTAATTGAAGAGGTTTATTCATTTGTGAAGGGGATTATTAAACCCAAAAAAGAAATTGTTAAACAATGAAGTTAGATGCTTAAGAATATTTTATGAGCAGATTAAAATAATATTTCTTCTTTGTATTATTAAACTGTCATTTTATATTAATTATTCTGACTCTTTCTCCATTTATCTTTCTAAAATGACAGGTAGTGTGCCAATATTTGAAAAGTCCCAATGTATCTGATTTACTCCTGCTGCAGAATATTTTCCAAGCTCTTAATGTGTATTACAATTATTCTGGCCAGGCAAAATGCCTGAATATTTCAGAGACAGCAACTGGCAGTCTGGGAACCCTGGGTTGGAGCTATCAGGTAAATGTGTATAATTTCCCAAGAGGAACTTACTTTTCACTGATACAGTTGTGCTATAAGAAAACCAGAGTACACAGTATTTTGTCACCTAACCTGGATCCAGGTTGGGCCCTGTTACCTTACGCTGTAATACTATGGACAAATTTCTTTGTTTATTCATTCATTCATTTAATAATCACCAAGTAGATATTGAGTTCTTATCATGTGTCAGGCACTCCTCTAGGTTTGAAAGATACAAAGATAAATAGTACATGATCAAATGTAGCGTAGCAAAAAAGTAAGTAATTAGTAT